AACAGTTCCTGATTCATGCGATTAACATCAGACATTGTCATTTGCTTCAGAACCTAAATCAACATAATTAACAGGACCCTCTATGTCCATAGTATCCATTTGTTTTACACTGTTATCTATTGGCTTGGGAGTTTTCAAACCAGACCCAGATTGTTTATTATGTGGCTTTGAGGCAGTACAATTGGCTCCTGCCGCCGAAATGAAATAAAATGCATTAAGGAGCATCAGCACCTAACGGGCTATATATCTCCAGAATACTTTAAAATAATGGAAAAACTAAAACAATAAAACACCTATCAATATCACAGAAAAGTCACATAGTGACTACAAAAAAAGACTAAAAAACCATATCAAAGAAAAAGTCATTTAGTGACTACAAAAAAACTCTAAAAACAATATCACAGGTAATATCCTGCCGCCGAAAAAATCGGTTTAGCAGATGGAACATTAACATTATTTTTCTTTGGGGGACTAGAAGACTGGAAAGCAAATTTCTTTGTAGAAATCGCTTCGTCCGTTGAGACGTTTCCAACACTAGAAGGGATTAGATTGGACTCGGATGACGTTCGCTTTTTAGCGTTTAAGTTTGGGGTGTAAAATCCATCTCTATCAACCCTATTATTATATAAATTAGCAGGGGTAGGTGTAGAAGGGGCAGAACCAGAAGGATGAGGAAGCCGAGACGGTTTACCTACAAAGCAGTGGCTTGTACAAAGCCCTGTCGACCTTTACCAGCACCGATACTAACACGAGCACCAACATTAACACCAGCACTAAAAAGATTCATACCAGCGTTTGCATACGATGGCTGATTACCCAAAGGGCATTCTTTTTTTAAATGTCCTGCTTTGTAGCATTTCAGACACACGGAAGGTCTGCCTTGTAAAATCATATCGATAACATTTGGGGAAGACCATCATATGCCGTTGCCTTTCTGAATAGCGTTATTCGCCGAGTCAGGGTCTTAATATGAGAGAGACCCTCATGGGAATAAAATTCCCTCTCAGATAAACCCAAACTGTTGGAGATGTCATTATCTGAAACATATTCAGGCAACCAGAACAAACGAACAATCAGTTTTGACTGATCAACACCAGATAACGTGTATGTATTTTTAACAACAGTAGCAGATGACACCCTAGTGGACAAAAACTGAACAGGATCGACGGTTTTGACTACAAGAGTCTTGTAAAAACTTTAACAGGCCTTACCACCGGAACGACCAAAGAAACCCTAATCACTAAGTCAAGAAAGCCTTCAGATTCTTCCCTCTAGGATGCAGTACTGAAACTAGATAAAATCAACAGAAATCTTGGATTTCATCATCGATTATCGTTAACCAACATTTTTCAAGCCCTTTTCCGGTGACTCGGTCAGTTAGACAGGATTGTAGTCATTCCCCGCTTTTGTATGTACTTGTTTTGGAACCCTTTTTAATTCGCATACGTAATGACGCTTAAATAGATTGTCTAGCCATTCCTGGAACTCCTTCCGTTACTGCCAAACTTTCCGTTTATGCCGATGATACGACTAATATTTGCACCACAAATGCTTCCATCCAAACTGAATCTGTCCAAGACCAAAGGTATGTTTTTTGATAAATGGGCAAGTCGGTCAGACCATCCTTTTGGTATTAGCTGGATTGATGGCTGTAAACTGGTGGGAGTTTCATTTGGCGATAGTAATTTTTTTTTTTTTGGAATAAGCTTTATAAAAAAATTGATACATCTTTAAATCTTTTTAAAAGTAGATCGTTGTCTGTTTTCGGCAGATCTACAATATGTAATGTGATAGCCTTGTCAAAGATATGCTTTGTTGGATCTGTTTTAATCCCACCACATAATTTTATTATCAGAATACAAAGACTTTGTTTTAACTTTATTTGGCCTTAAAAAATGAGCCTGTGAGATGTGATGTATTCCGACAAATCTCTTTGTGGTTCTGGAATCATTCACATCTCTTCCAAATTAAAATCTATTAGACACTGAACGAAGAAATATATCATAAATGCCCTTTGTTGTCAAAGCTGACCATGTGGTGGAAATATCTAATTTGACACAGATGTCTTTAAAAAAATAAATCCAACCATTCTTTGTAAAAGGGGGATGGACTCTCACTATGAGGCATCAAATGATTAAAGAGATCTGAATTATACCCTCGGAGTTGCATTCCCACCCAATATTTAACGATACCGGACCACTTAGCGTCAGTTCCGTTAATCAATCTTACTACATGCATCACTCGAAATGCCTTCAGTTTAAACATGATGTGCGCAAAAGCTCCACCTCTGTGTTGTTTTGAAGAATACAGAGTGACACGTTTGACTGATTCATGCCCGATCTGCCACCTAAACTTAAAACACTTCCTTTGTATGATTGCAATAAAATAGTGATTAAATGGGATGACTGTAAAACATACAAAAGTTACACACCAACGCCCTTCCAAAAATCTTTTGATGTTAATATTAAAACATAATTAATCTTGGATGTGACATTATTCCAAAGAATTTTATCTGAAACGCACCCAAAGGGAAAACCGACAATCTTAGTCCATGAGTCTACCCAAGAAATTCCGACCGGGTGATCGGAACGAGACTTCCATTTACCAAAGAACATTCCCTTATATTTATTCATGTTGAGCTTAGATCCCGATGCCAAGACATATTCATGGCATAAAACCAAAATACGTTTTATAGAAGCATTTGTTATGCAAATACCAGTGATATCATCTGCAAACAAAGACACTTTTAACTGATCTACCACACCAGGAAGATCCAACCCGGAACGAATCATGATGGCAAAAGGCGCTAGAACTAAAGCATATGATAATAAACTACAACCCTGACGAACAGATCTAATAACGGTGAAGGGATCGATTATTATATACAATTACAGAAGACGATATGTACAAATAGAGGGTCTCAATCCATTTTTATACGCTCACATTATAATGTGGACGTATATTGTCGTCACCCATGTCCGTTCGTCTGTCCACAATTGGCATGTGAACGCGATAGAGACTACAGTTTGCATCTGATTTGAATGAAATTTGGTGTGATCATTTATATTGATGAGATCTTGGACAAGTTCGATATTCACGATTTTTCGATGAACGGTTTTTTGGTTATTGCCCTTGACTTCGCCTAAACGAATTGATATTGGCTTGTGAACGCAATAGAGACTACAGTTTTCACCTGATTCGAATGAAATTTGGTGTGATCATTTATATTGATAAGATCTTGGACAAGATCGAATTTTGGCTATCTTTCGATGAATGGTTTATGAGTTATTGGATTTGCTTTATGAATAACGCGTCAAAATTTGTTTGTGAACACAATAGAGAGTACAGTTTTCATCCGATTTAAATGGAATTTGGTATGATCATTAATAATGATGAGATCTTAGATGAAATTTGACAATTTTTCGATCAACGGAATTTGAGTTATTGCCCTTCACTTAGTAAAAACTGCATCAACATTTGTTATCGATAAAGGTGACAGTTTATGTCAGAATTTTATTAAATAATGTGTGTTTGATATTGCTCTCCATTTTTTCATATTTTCCGCTTGGGAAAGATTCTTACTTAACAAAGAAATATATGATTTTCTGGGAAGACGAAAGAGATGACCCTGAGAATATATGTTCATACAACAAAACAAGCGAATCGACCAACAAGTCAAAAATATGAAGATAAAATTCCCTCGATGGTCCGTCCGACCCCGGAGACTTGTCGGATTTCATGAGGTCTTAGGCTCTCTTAATCTCCAGCTTAGTGATCGGACCTTTAAGAGCATCCCTTATATCATTATCCAAAACATTAACATCAGCAAGAAGATATTCGGCTAAAACCATGTCAACATCATCCTTTGCAAAAAAGTTAGAATAAAAACCTCTGAAGGCTGCAATAATCTGCTCGGAAGATTCAATACAAGTATCACCATCAACAATCTTGCCAATAAATTTCCGTTTAGCTCCTCAATCTTCGTTCAACAAAAATGATTTACTAGGAAGCTCCTGACCTTCAATAATCTTAAAAGAAACAGATCCTCTCGAAACAGAAGAGGGATGAAGACGACGAAATACATCAAACAAATAGAAATCACGCCCAAGGTTATTAATCTCCATAGATCCAACACCTCTTCTGTCCAAACTACCACCTATCTTGTCCAACCTAGCGTCAGCGATGCAGTTAAAGTCTCCACCAAAAATGATACATCAGTCGAAAGGAATCAATACAAAAGGCAACCCGATCTCGGTCATTGTTGGGCGCATATACACAAATAAATCTTATAGGCACGTTATTGTAGTCGACATCAAGACCTACCACAATCGGTATGTAAGTCTGAAATTCCAAAATCTCTCCAGAAGTTACGGTTTCCATGATATCATCAACGCTATCATTTTCAGATTCTTCAGAATAATCCGACTCTGTGCCGAACAGTTGACACGAAACCCGAAGATGTTGGCTTCGACACCTTCTTAGTGTTTGCGGTTACAGAATTTGATTCCTCACCACTTAACGAACTTAAATTAGCTTTAAATTTGAACCCATGTCAGAAACATTAATGATAACAGTTATATAATCATGATCAAAGGGAGAACACGTCAAAACTTACAAGATGCTTTAAAAGATTCCTTCTTTAATAAAAAGCGGTCTAAGCGACATGCGACACCTTGGCCCCGCCATGTCACTAATACAATTTTAGGATAAATATGTCTATAAGCGTCAGCTAAATTAAAATCCGAAATAATACTAGATAAATTTTGTTACCCCACAATGCCGTTTTTAATATTACCCCAATTTTGTCAAGGTGAGGATCCATTATAAAATTAAAATCTCCGCCAAATATAATATACCGATGTGTAGCCAAAAATAGCCAAGTAAAAATTCCTTTCGATCCACACCCATAGCTGGCGCATATATACAAATCAGCTTAAATTGTGCGCCACTGATGTCGACAACGAGTAGCCTCCCCTCAAAATCGAAAGTTATTTTCCGAATCACAACACATAAACGATTAAATAAAATAATCCCCACCCCTGTTGAGCAGCTAGAGCCAGAACACCAAGATTTTCGTAAATTTTTGCCTGCTCAACAGTGCGTATATTAGTGTCCTGTAAAAAACAAACATCAGTAGCCATATCTTTCAGATCTCTCGATATTACTCTCGATTTCTGAAGAGACAATAAACCACGATAGTTGATAGATACAGTCCTAATATCCGCCATTTAAGTTTTGTGATGTAGAAAAATTACACATCAAACACATTACACTGGCACGGGCAGACATGATTAAAAACTCACTGGACTGACACAACACCGAAGCAAACATAAACGCCCAGACTGCGTGACAGACATGAGTGAAAAATCACTCGACTGATAGGCGATGTGAACACAAACGAGTCCACACATATAAAACAGTTCACTACTTTGTAAAGCATAGTGAGTGAAATTCGGGGTACCTTGCCAAAAAACATAGACAAACAACCTAGTCGAAACTGACAAAAAATAACCTGAAAAATAGAAATGCATGATTAAATTTACTATATTATGTTAGAAAGAAAGTACTCAGAAACTCAATATCGATACCGACCATGAATAACAACATTATAACGTACAATCTGAAATAGAAAGAACTATGTGAGAAAAGAATAAAAATTAGGTTTTAAATCTTTTCCCACCCCTCTTCTTGGGACTGCCTGCACGGCTGTTTTTTTTTTACTTGTTTCCAGTTTTGATCTTCCTGAACATCTATAATCAAGCTATCACTATCAGAGTTACTTAATTCACTGTCCATTTCCTCGGCCCACGGGCGTGTTGGGGTGGGTCTCGGGGAAGATTCTAAATCAGGCATCACCTCGGGCTCCTGAGGATTCCCAGCCCCTGGAGTCTGCTCCTCTACTGCCTTGTCCCCAGAGGCTGAGAACCCACTCAAAGCATCCGCGTAAGACTTATCCTTATCCTTGTTCTCAGTCTCCACACGTCGCAAAATCTTCATTGGGCAGTCTCTTGCCATATGGCCAGTGCGCTTACAATGGAGACACAATGGCTGTCTCTCATTGCAAGCCACAAGGATCCTAAAGGGATGCACACCTGGCACGTACACAATGTGGGATACAGAAAAATATTGTTTATCAGTGCACTCGAGTTTAATGCGCCACCCGTTTAGCGGGTGGTGTTGACCATATTCTTCGTACCGATAAAACTTATCCGTACTGACCAAACACACGGCCGACCGATGAAAGAGGAATCCAGTGGGCACTGATGCTCATAATTCTCTGCGTCACTGAAGTGAAATAAAATATTTTGAACCTTAAATGTCTTGACTTGCAGCAAGTGTTCTTTCGTTTGTAAGGTGACAAACCATTCCTCTGCTCTGTCAAGTTTCCATAATATCTCAATGGCGCCGTACTTAATACGGAGAGTGAGTTTGCTTGACCGCACTGAAAACCATTTCCCTTCCTGTCAAGATGTTGCCTGGTCTTTCAATCGTACAATATCTGCATCAGTTGGCTCGATCTTACTCAATATCTCACTCATTATGAAAGTTGGTGTTGGTCAGGTGAGTTGAAAATACCCAAATCTCTCTCAAAGCGTGTAATCCAATCCAAACGTATAACCGGCCCTGACAAACCTTGGATCTTAGAAGAAGATGCCTATTCAGGGTCAGTTTAGGACCTCAAATAAATTTGTATCTTTCCGCAATGGTCTCAACACAGTCGGTCTTTAAAAAAAAGAAAAAAAAAGGATATAGAAAAAAGTTCTTCTCTGTGAACAGCGTTCGTTCGTTCGTTCGTTCTTTCTTTCTTTTGCACTCAGGCTACGCAATTGACAGTGCAACCCATTTCGATACATTTAGAAGAGCATTACGTTCTATAATATTCTGGGTTGCACAAGTACTCTGAGACGTAGGACAAACGTCTATTTTCAGCAGAGCTGGGAGACACACGCCAATTTCCCACTTCTGGAAGGTGTACGGCATATGCTAGTAGTAGGGGGGATTCTTTTAATTTGTATTATGAGGGTGGGTCATGCCTGAAAACCTAAATCCATTGTCAGTTGCCCATTGCTGTAAGTTGTTTAAGCAAAGCTGCAACTGACGCTCAATCGTCTGCATGTTTGCCATAACACATCTGAGCATTAAGGAGCATCAGCATTAAACGGGCTCCAGAATACGTTAAAATAATGAAAAAACTATAACGACAAAATACCTATCAATATCACAGAAAGGTCACATAGTGACGATAAAACCATATCACAGAAAAAGTCATTTAATGACTACAAAAAAACACTAAAAACAATATCACAGTTAATACACCACATGGTGGTATTAAAAACCAACAAAATATTTAAAATTTAAAATAAAGACATGCTTGTTTTAAAAACACCACAATCTTCTCATAAAGATAAATAATTGATGTAAAGATCCAGCATGGAAGAAGGCTTTGGAAAGATTATTCGAAATTAATGTTTGTGAATTTGGATGACACCTGTAGATCTTCTAAAACTGACGAAAGAAAGATGTTGTATATAACTTTGAAGTCAAAGAAGGCCATATAATATTAATACTTAAATTATTACAAATATCGATAAACATTTAAAAGGCATCAAGACATTCATTGTAAAAAGGAGACGAATACTGACTATGGGGCATCGTAATGCATTCAACTAGAATAAAACGTGCACCATGCCAACCCCGCTTTGATATTTTGGAGCAAACATAGTAACACGTTTTACTGGCTCATGACCAAGCTGCCAAACAAACTGAAAACATTGGCGCTGAAGTGATTTTATGAAAGAACGATTGTAAAAATGTACCATAACTTTGACAGAGCAATAATGTTAGACACCAAATATTGATAAAGGCCATTTAAGGAAAATATCTAAAACATTCTTAACTTTACCATTGACCCTCTCTTGTAAGACTTTATCATTGAAACGACCAAAATGAAAAACCTACTATCTTAGTCTCAGAATCCACCCAGGAAATCCCAAAAGGATGATCAGACCGAGTCATCCACTTGCCAAAGTAAATTCCTAAAGCATATAGCAAAGGAGAAAGACTACATCCTTTTACGTACCGCTCGAGTGACTGGAAAATGTTCGATAAAAAATTATTTACAAAAACTGAAGATGATATGTCACTATACAAAATTTGAATCCATTTTAAAAAACCATCACCAATGCCATAATAGCGTAAAGCCATAAACAAAAACTCATGGGACACTCGATCAAAAGCTTTTTCCTGTTCCAAACAAATAAAATAACATGGAAGATTCTTGTGTTCAACATAGTCCACGTAGTATATTCCATTGTCCGATATTGACCGACAAGGAACTGCACAAGTTTGAACCGGATGTATCAAAAGGTCCATTACATTACCCAACCTCATCGACAAAACTTTCGACAAAATCTTATAATCTACGTTAAGCAATGAGATGGGTCGCCATACTTCATATGTTCAGGCTCAGAAGGCTTCTTAAAGAGTAATGAAATATAAGACATTTTCTGAGACGCTGAGAGTGATGATTCGGAGAATATGTGCCCGAAATCTAAAAATTGGATTTCGGGGAAGGGAGGGTTTGATTCTCCCAAATGTACAGGCCTAGGGTGGAGCAGACACTTTATTTAGAAATTAGGATTAAGGGTCTTGATATTGGGTTTTCTTCTGTTCTTATTCTGATCTTAAATTAGAAAAAATAACTCGCCCGATGGGCGAGAAGTATAGTATCTGTTATGTACTGATTGTTTTTAGTTTACTATGAACAATATTATCATTCAAGTTCTTATTTTTTGAATATGCAACTATCATTTTCTGCTTATAGACATGGGGGAATTTCTCTTGAAGGCTCTTATAGTGGGCATGAACTATCTTGCTTGCTCGATTGCTGGTTGTATTAAACGGGACAACAAAGGGTGCTATGCCTACATTATGATGAATATTTAGTCCTATAGGTCTTGCTGTATTCAATGTCTCAATCCAATGGGCCTCCCTAGATTGACGGAATTTGGTAGTTTCATCTTCGGGCAAGTCAATTTCTATACGCTCAATTGGGATTAGGATGAGATCGTCTATTGAATGGTCGTCGAGGTTGAAATGATTAGAAACAGGCTTGTCTTTCTTTAATTTGATGTCTGACCTATGAGCATTAAAGCGAGTTCGTAAATTATTCTTAGTTTCTCCTACATATTGTTTAGGGCATTTCTTGCATGAAATTAAATATATTACATTCGAATGTTCACATGTTAGATGTTCTTGGATCGGGTACCTTTTATTCGTAGAGTTGCTTACAAAATAATGAGTTTCTGATATAAAGGGACATGTTTTGCATCTACTGGACAAACATGGAGCACTTCTTAAACCTGGAGGTACTTCGGCATAAAGGAATTTTTTATGTTTCGTAAAAATCGTTTAGAGTACCCACGCTCTTTCAGTTTTGAGAAAACAATCGTACAGGCTTGGTTGAAATCAGAAGATCTTGTACAAATTCGATGAAATCGTAAAACTTGTGACTTAATTATACCAGAAAAGGTATGTTTTGGGTGAAAGGAGCTCTTGTGCAAGAGTTGATGAGTATCAGTTTCTTTGAAATACACTTTAATATCCAGTTTATTTGTTTCTGCTATGGAATCTCCCTTAAAGACCGTGGTATCGAGAAAGTCTATGCTTTTGTCACTCACGTTTGCGGTTAGTTTGATAAAAGGATGGTGGTTGTTGAGAATTTCAAAGAATTCCCAAAACTGTTCGATAGAATAAGTCCAAACCATAAAAATGTCATCCAAAAAGCGTCCGTAAAAAAGTGGGTCAAATGGACAGAGGGGCAACACCTCACGTTCCCACTCTGCCATGAAAAGGTTTGCGTACGAAGGGGCGAATCGTTTGCCCATTGCTGTCCCTGAAGTTTGTAAATATGTTTTACCATTAAATGTGANATCGTTTCGACTAAGACAAATCTCTGTCTATTAAAAGCTTTACGAACTGCCGTTAAACCAGTAGTGTTATCGATATTGGTATACATAGAAAAAAGTCGATAGAAATTAAAATGGCATTAGAGGGAACTCGAAGATTTTTTATTTTATTGACAAAATCGGTTGTGTCTTTAAGGTAGGCGCGATGTTGGCATGCTAGAGGTAGTAAGAAATGATCAATGTATTCTGACACTGCATATGACTCACTACCACAGTCAGATATAATCGGGCGGCCTTTAGGGATTATATTCGAGATAAACCACTCCTTGGTTGGATTCTTATAGATTTTAGGCAAAGTGTACAAATGTCTCTCGCGACAATCAGGTTTGGCAGACAGATAGTCATATTGTTTCTGTTTGAGATAACTAGTTTTGACTAAATCGGCAAGAATATTATTAATCATGTTAGCAGTTTCTTTGAAAATTGGTTTCGGTAAAATGGCATAATGTTTAGGATTATTCAGTTGATTCTCTGCTTCTGAAACGTAATCCTCCCTATTCAGAATGACACAACATGAACCTTTGTCATTCTTTTTAATAACAATGCTATCGTCTTTCTTAAGTAAGTTTAACGCTTCACGTTCCACTCGTGTGAGATTAGGCTTTTCGTGTGTTATGGAAAGGTTCACTGTTTGGCTATTCATACTCAGACTTTTCAACAATGGAATCCTCCACCGGCATATCGCCAGATGACACCGGCAAAATAACATCAGCTGCAATAATATCAATAGCAAATGAACTACTATCATCAGTTCCACGTCCTATAGAAGATTTGGACGCAGACGGCACATCAGATTTCTAAAAACTCCAGAAAATCAGAATAACATGACTTATAAAAAGGAGGTAAATGAAACCCATGAGGTTGTAAATTGGATTTAAAATTAAGGAAGGATTAAATTCTCTTAGCTGCAGACCAAGTCAGAATCTCAACCACAAGACCCATTTAGCATTACGGTTTGAAATACCATTAATGATATGCATAATACGTAAGGATTTTAATTTAGATGAAATGAGTATGATACCAGTCCCACCCTGTGATACACTGGAGTACATAACATTTCTCCTTACAGGTTCATTTTTGGAAGGCCATATAAAGTTAAAACAGAGACGCTGCACTTTAATAATAAAATTACGAGGAGAAACTAAAACAGAGCCAACGTACCAGAGTTTAGTCTATAACATTACAGACGATAGATCTACCAAACACAGATAAGGGCCTATTACTAAATAAATTTAAGGAAGTGGCAATTTTTGTATATAAAGATCTCCAATAAACCTCATTTTTTCCAAAAGGGATCCCCAGCAACTTACTGCCATCTATCCAGCGTATGCCGAAAGGATGGTCTGATCGACTGGCCCATTTACCAAAAAATAAACCTTTGGACTTAGACAAATTTGATTTTGCACAAGATGCTCTACCGTAAAGTAAACAGATGTTAAATACTCTCTGGATAGAGGCATCTGAAGTACAAATAATAGTCGTATCATCAGCATAAGCAGAAAGTTTGACAGAAGTTGAAGGGGAGCCAGGTATAACAATGCCCACTACACGAGGGTCATTTCGGACTTTGAGTAAAAATGGTTCTAAAACTAAAATATATAATAAAGGGGAAAGACTACACCCCTGTCTTACAGACCTGGTTACTTGAAATGGTGTAGAAATATGCTGATTAACTATAACAGAAGAAGAAATGTTTGTATATAAAATCTTTATCCAATTTCGAAAGCTTAAACCAAAGTTAAAATGTTGGAGAACAAGAAATAAAAACTCATGATAGACTCTATCAAATGCTTTTTCCTGGTCCAGACAGACAACAGCCAAAGGCAAGTCTCTATCCCGAACATAGTCCACTACTGCCCTCAAAAGATGACCATTATCCAGTATTGATCTGCCTGGAACAGAACAAGTCTGATCCAGGCCAACAATATCTTCCAACAAACCCCAAGCCTGGTTGATAATACTTTGGAAATAATCTTGTAGTCTATGTTCAGTAGAGAGATCGGTCGCCAATTCTTGACGCCCTCGGGATGCTCCAAATTCTTGCACAAAAGTTATATATGATAAACTCTGAGTGGAATAACGACTCAGACTCAAAAACAAGGTGGTAAAGTCGAACCAGAACATCACCAAGAACGTCAAAATTGGCGAGGTAAAACTCCTTAGTCAGTCCATCTGGACCAGGAGACTTCTCACTCTTCATGGAAGAAAGAGCTGAGAGAATTTCACTCCTGGATATCTCTCCCTCCAGTGAATCTCTCACAGAGTCACTGAGAGAGGGCAGACTTGCCAGGAAGCGACCAGCCTCAGTAAGATCAATGTCCTCCTTATGAAACAGGTTTGAATAAAAGGATACAAAAGATTGCAGGATAGTGCTGTTGGTGGTACAAGAATTATCGCCCTCCTACAAACAGGTAACTGTTTCCTGGCAGCACGATCATGCTCTTTTTTAAAAAAGAAACGAGATGGTCGTTCTATATTTTCAATAACAGCAGATCTAGATCTGATCCGAGCACCATCCACTCTCTCGTCCTCAAGAGAACAAAGCTGATGCTTTATCCCTGAGACACGAGCAGAGAAAAGGCCCGGGTTGAGTATCTCCCGCTCAGTCAAGTCCCTATATTCTCGTTTTAATGTAGATATATCTGCTTTTCTCTGTATGGTTAAACTTTTCTGAAACTCCTTACAAAAAGTTTTTATATGGCCTTTAAAAATTTACCCGGTTTAACAAAGAAAGTTCTTTTTCAGATACTAGATACGAAAATGAATTAAAAAAGGAGCGAAATTGAAATGTGAAATCAGAGGAAATAACACTGGAGCTGTTACACTTCCAGTAACCTCTACCTATAGACACTGTTGGATTTAAACTCAATTTAAAAGAAATACAAGAGTGATCAGAAAATATAAGAGGCTGGACTTGAAAATCATGTGTACCAGAAAATTTATTAGATGGTATATAAAATCTGTCCAGTCTACAAGATACCGAAGAGCTGCTCCAGGTATGAAGAACTTTATGAGGAAAATGAAAACGGAAGACATCTTTTGAAAGTTAAACCGTGAAATTAGGTTCTTGAAAGTGGAAGAACTTGACGATATTTTATCAACATTACCACCAGTTTTATCTAAAACATTATTTAGAACAAAGTTAAAATCACCACCTAAAATAATACATCTTGAGGAGACTAAATAACTCTCAAGATGACGAATAAAATCATTTCTATCAGATGGTTTGTTAGGACAATAAATATTTATAAAACGTAATGGGCAGTCATTTATATCAACATCGATATAAACAAAACGGCCTTCTAAATCAAAATGAAAATGATGAACTATATATCTTAAGGAGTTTTTTAAGAGGATGGCAGAACCAGAGCTCTAATTAGACCCAAAGGACCAAAAATATTTATACTGCTGTAAAATGTGTTCAAACTTTCTTCCAATTTTTAAATTAAAAACGTGTGTTTCTTGTAGGAAAACAACATCGAAACGTTCAAGGGCTAAAAATTTATATAAATAATGGATTTTATTAAATCCTAACAAACCATTTGTGTTAATGGATGAAACATTGAGTGTCATCTTGATAAATATTAACAGAAAGAAGCACAATGTAAGTATATATAGGTACATTATCAAAAACCAGTAAAAAAGAAATTAAATCGGAGAGTCTTCAGAAGACTCTTCACCCAATCCGAACCCCTCCCCATCGGTCGACCGACCAGGAGTCATGCTACTTAGGATATCATTTAGCTTTTCAGTGTCAGCTAAATTATCCATAACATCACTGACCATTTCAACCGGGTTAATATCATCCATTACAGTATCCATGGATTCAATAGCTGGTTCTTTGTTCAAGTTAGGCTTTCCTGGCTTTGACTTTGGTAAAGATGACAGATTTTCCGATCTCAACGAAGACGTGTTGGCCCCAGCTGCAGCAGACTGGAGCTTGTCAGAGGTGTGGTTGTGTTTAATTTTAGATGGTGAAGAAGTTTGTAATGCCATTTTTTTAGTACTCGAATTAACAGAAGTAGAAATATTGCTAACGGGCACAGTATTGCATTCTGATGAAGTACTTTTTTTTGCATTTTGTTTGGGTGTGTAAAACCAATCCTCATCCACCCTCCTCTCATAAAGTTTAACATGAGCAGGAGGCGGAGGAGGAGGAAGAGGAGCGTTCTCTTTAGGAAGAGCAGATACTGGCACGAAACAAGTACTGGGTATATTAACCGAGGATCTGTTCAGAACATTGGCATATGATGAGGCAGAGGACAAAAAAGCTTTACTCATGGGACATTCCTTCCTCATATGTCCGGGTTGGAAACATTTTAAACATATGGGAGCTCGTCCCTGTAAAATAATGAGGACATATTTCCCAGCACAGATGATGTGTGGGGCACAGAGTCAAAAGCCGAAGGTTTACCCTCTAAAAACACACGTCGGGTCAGAGTCTTAATGTGTTTCATACCTTCTTGAGAATAATACTCTCTAGATATTGAGAGGACTTTAAGGCCAAACGACCGGAAAAAACTTTCTAAATCTCCATCAGAGATATACTTCGGGAGCCAAAACAAACGGGCTATTAGTTTGGATCTATCAAAGCCGGGAAGGGAGTAGGAATTCCTCCCAATCTCGGCAACAGGACTTTTATCCAAAAAGGAGGACACAGTCACCTCAGATTCGAAGGTGACGTGGAAGGTCCTGGCAGATCGACCGGAGCCCATTGAAACAATGGACTTCGGATCGATATCATTGCTCTTTACACAAACTGGCTACCTGATGACTGGGAAAAACCAGTGTGCACCTTTGGATACCCTGCCTATCCGTAAGGGATCCAAAAGCTAAACAACCTACCTAACAAAACCCTAACGAGCCCTAGGTGGACCTAGCGGGCCGTCGAAGCAACCGAGCCCGACCTTTTCCACCGGAACAGGAATAGAAGTGAAATTCTAAAGCTCGATGCCCACTAGTTGCACTAAATAGAGCCGTTCTCGCAAACGCATAAATGCCGGATACTAGTACTCTAATTTTTAACTAAAACCCAAGCGTAACAAGAACAGATACTACACTTTGATCTTAGCCAAAAGGCCGAGAAGCAATGCCTGTTAAGGGTCAGTTTGTACCTTTCCGCGATGGTCTCAACACAGTCGGTCTTTAAAAAATAAAAAAAAAATAAAAGAAGTATATGTTCTTTTCTATGATCAGCGTTCTTTATTTCTTTCTTTTGCACTCAGCAGAGCATTACGTTCTATAATATTCTGGTTTGCACAAGCAGTTTGAGACGTAGGGCAAACGTCGATTTTCAGCAGAGCTGGGAGGCACACGCCAATTTCCCACTTTTGGTAGGTGTACGTCATATGCTTGTAGCAAGCTGGCATGGTAGTAGGGGAATTCTTTTAATTTGTATTATGAGGATGGGCCTCGCCTGGAAGTACTGCAATACCAGGGCAACCCGTGATGAGGGCGGAGCTTGCTCCGGGCACCTCATCTAGGTCAAAAAATCAGTTTAATATCGAAGTACCCCGATGAACCAGAATCTTAACCACCATTTTGCATTCCAGTTCAAAATACCCTGAACAATATGTATAACCCGAATGGCTTTTAATTTAGAAGAAATATTTATGATCCCAGTGCCACTAAAGGATTTATCCGAATACATAACATTTCTACGAATTGGATCATTTTTTGAAGGCCAACTGAAATTAAAACATAATCTTTGAACTTTAATAATAATTTATTTTTTGATGGAATTGTAACAGATCCAACATGCCATAACTTAGACAAAGCTATTACGTTACATATTGTAGACTTTCCAAAAATGGACAAAGACCTGGATAGTACCTTATAATCCACATTCAGAAGCGAAATAGGGCGCCAATTCTTGACCCTCTCAGCATGATAGGGATCTTTACACAAAAGCGTGATATAGGATAGGCTTTGTGAAGAGGATAACGTTCCTAAGGAGAAAATAAGGCTAACTAACACATCACCAAGCATGTCAAAATTAGCCAGATAAATTCCCTTGTTAGCCCATCTGGACCAGGAGATTTTTCACCTTTCATTTCCCAAGGGGCTGGTAATATCTCAGCTTTGGATATGCCACCTTCGGGAGAATGCCCGGAAGATTCGTCCAACTCAGGCACATCTGCTAAAAAAACCATATGCCTCAGAAAGATCTATCTCTTCTTTAGAAAATAAAGTCGAGTAAAATGACTGGAAACTGTCCATGACCGTGTTGTTGGTGGTGCAGAGTTCATCACCATCATTAATACAAGAGATAGTTTTCTTGGCAGCACGGTCATGCTCCTTTCTCAAGAAATTGCGAGAAGGGTCTCTCTTGGTTTTAAATTTCATTGGATCTTGAACGTATGCGAGCACCTGCAATTCGCTTATCCTCTGAAAGGCGAAGCTGATGCTTTATATCTGAAAGGCGACTTGTGTAAAGACCCGGATTCTGTGACTCACAATCAGTAAGCGTCCTATATTCTGCCCTCAACACAGAGAGGGTGTGATCTTTCTGTAAATATGATCTTCTTTGAAATTCTATACAGAAACGTTTCACGTGGCTTTTGAAAAGATCCCAATTTGACAGAGAAAGACCATCATCTAGATATGAAATCTATCTGTAGCTTTACCATCAGCAGCCTCCATTTTCACAGCAGAACTCATTGCCATTTTACAGGCACTTGAGTTCTTTCAGTCCTCTACATCATTAAAAAAATGTATTATATTTTCTGATTCTTTGTCCTCATTACAAGCTATTTATAACGTCCAACTTGTACACCCAATAATCGGGGATATATACAAGCTCTCTGGGCCGAAAAAGGACATTGTCCTTTGTTGGCCCCCCCAGTCACATGGATATACGGGGG